TTGGAAAATCTAAAAAGAAATAGGTAAGTTTCTATAGATAGCACTTACCAATGTTAAATCAAGATCAGATAATTAATTTAAAAGAACTATAACCTCCACTGAAATAGAAGCAGTCACCCAAAAGTCTCCCAATCAAAAAATAGGCCCTGAGCCAGATGGCTTTTGAGAGGCTCAGATGGTTTTAGCTCAAAATTTTATAAGACTTTCAAAGAACTAATGCCAATATTCCTCAAATTATTCCACAAAATAAAGAATATTGCCCAGCTCTTTCTACGAGGTCACATTTACCCTGATATCCAAAGCACAAAAAGACCAAACAAAGAAATTATAGACCAATTTGAGTTATGAACACAGATGTAAAAATATTCAATAAAACACTTGCAAACCAAATCTAAGAACACACCAAAATAGTCATCCACCATGATCAAGTAGGCTTCTTCCCAGAGATGCAGGGATGGTTGAATTAAAAAAAAAAAAAAAAATCAATGAATGCTGTGGACCGGCCCAGCCGGGGGCCCCACAACCTCGGGGAATCATTCGGGTATCAGGTTAGACACAGGTAGGCAGATTGACAGTCAGAGACCACACCGAGATAGCTTTGACTCTGCTGCGATTTACTGAAGTCAAGCTAACACTTATATAGTGATTACATAAAGAAGCACCTTGAAGTTGACATACTTCCCGGAACATTCAGACTTTTTACCAATAATACAGAGTTTACATTTTAACTGAAAGGCTAATCTGGTAGAAGCAGTGTCTACAAATAATCTTGGCCTAAAAGCTTTTAATCAAAGCAAATACAAAACTTTAAACTATTTACGCAGTTCTATTGCTGCTAATTAGTGAGGAAAAGGCCAGGGGCTGTCATTGCCCTCCGAGCCAAGTCGGCTAAAGATTTACAACCCTCCCTAGAGATAAGCACTGAAGAGAATTTCTCCTGTTTGTCTTGCTAAGGATTTACAATCTTCCTTTAGAGATAGGATGCTTGAGCTAAAGCTCATAGTATAATATAAAACCTTCTGACCTCCTATGTTTGCCTATCTTCTTTTTGCCTCATCATAAACACCTGTGTTTGGTAATGGTTTTGTAGTAGTTCTACTTCAGTGGGAATATCCAGACCATTTATCCTAACAGATCCTGATTAAATATTTTCTTTAGAAAGCCCTAAAACTCTTGCCCCTTTATTACCTACAATGTTTGGTTTTTCCACAAGCAATTCCTGATGCTGAATCTGATTTATTACCTCTTCTAAAATTTTATTTTCCTTCCACTCTTATTTGCTAAAGCTTTTAGTAATCTATCAGAAATATGGTTCCTTGAATAGTTAATTGTACTGTTCCAAGAATCATAGAGAAATAGCAAAAAAGCTCATCAATCCATCCCTGCAACTGAGGAAGCATGGGACTCTCAGAATACATCTTTTTGGCTTAGGTGGCCATGTTAGGGTTCTTGCCAGTGACCTCCAGCGAGCTTATTTCCGAAGAAAACGTATCTCCCGTCTAGTAGCACAATCTATTGATATGCTACAAAGACGACGCTGGAGAGAGTGTAGCAAATGAATGTAATCTACCATACAAACAAAGTTTAAGAAAATGCCCCATACAATCATAGAAGAGGCCTTTGACAAAATTCTACATTTCATAATAAAAGTCCTGGAGAGCTCAGGGACACAAGGCCCATACCTACATATAATAAACATCATTTACAGCAAACCCATAGCCAACACCAAATTAAATGGAGAGAAACTCAAAGCCATTCCACTAAAATCAGGAACAAGACATGGCTGTCCATTCTTTCAATATATCTTCAATATAGTACTTGAAGTTCTAGCTAGAACAATAAGACAACTAAAGAGGATCAAGAGGATACAAATTGAAAAGGAAGAAGTCAAAGTATCTTTATTTACAGATGATATGATAATATACATAATGACCTTAAAAGTTCTAGTGGGGAACTCCTACAGTTGATAAACACTCTCGGCAAAATAGGTGGATGTAAAATTAACTCACAAAAATCAGTAGCCTGGGCTGGAGAGATGGCTCAGAGGTTAAGAGCACCTGCTGCTCTTCTAGAGGTCCTGAGTTCAATTCCCAGCAACCACATGGTGGCTCTCAAGCATCTATAATGAAATCTGGTGCCCTCTTCTGGTGTGCTCATGTACATGCAGAGTACTGTAGAAATAATAAATAAATCTTAGAGAGAGAGAGACACTCTCCAACATTACTGAGATGACATACACAAATGACAAAGGGGCTGTGAAAGAAATCAGGAAAACAACACCTTTCATGACAGTCTCAAATAATATTAAATATCTGCGGTAACTCTAACGAAGCCAGTCAAAGAACTGTATGATTAAAATCTTCAAGTCTTTAAAGACAGAAACTGAAGAAGATATCAGAAGATGGAATGATCTCTATGTTCACAGATCAGGATTAACACAGTAAAGACAGCCATTGTACTCAGGATTAACACAGTAAAGACGGCCATTCTACCAAAAGCAATCTACAGATGAATGTAATCCTCACTAAAATTTCAATACAATTTTTTATATTAATTACAGTTTATTTACTTTGCATCTCAGCTGTAGCCCTCTCCCTCATTCCCTTCTAATCCCACCCTCCCTGCCCCTCTCCAAGTCCACTGATAGGGGAGAGGTCCTCCTCCCCTTCCCTCTAACCCTAGCCTATCAGGTTTCATCAGGACTGGCTGCACTGTCTTCCTCTGTGGCCTGGTAAGGCTGCTCCTATCTCGCGGAGAGGTGATCAAAGAGCCAGCCAATGAATTCATGTCAGAGACAGTCCCTGTTCCCCGTACTAGGATACCCAATTGGAGACTGAGCTGCCATGGGCTACATCTGTGCAGGGATTCTAGGTTATCTCCATGCATGGTCTTTGGTTGGACTATCAATCTCAGAAAATCTGGGCCAGATTTTTTGGTTCTGTTGTCCTCCTTGTGGAGCTCCTGTCCCCTCCAGGTATTTCTATCTCCCCCTTCTTTCATAAGATTCCCTGCACTGTGCCCAAAGTTTGGCTATGAGCCTCAGCATCTTCTTTTGTTATCCTGCTGGGTAGAGTCTTTCAGAGGCCCTCTGTGGTAGGCTCTTGTCCTGTTTCCTGTTTCTTCCCTCTTTCGACGTCCATCCCTTTTGCCTTTCTGAGTGAGGAATGGTAATCTTATCCTGGGTCCTCCTTGCTTAGCATCATTAGGTGTACAGATTTTAGTATGGTTATCCTATATTTTATGTTTAATATCCCCTTATGAGTATGTACCATGTGTGTCTTTCTGCTTCTGCGATACCTCACTCAGGATGATCTTCTCTAGTTCCCACCATTTGCCTTTAAATTTCATGATTTCCTTGTTTTTAATTGCTGAGTAGTATTTCATTGTGTAAATGTGCCACAATTTCTGCATCCATTCCTCAGTTGAGGGGCATCTGGGTTGTTTCCAGGTTCTGGCTATTATGAATAAAGCTGCTACAAACATGGTTGAGGAAATGTCCTTGCTGTGTACTTGAGCATCTTTTGGATATATGCCCAGGAGTGATATAGCTGCATCTTGAGGAAGCACTATTCCTAATAGTCTGAGAAAATACCAGATTGATTTCCAAAGTGGTTGTACAAGTCTACACTCCCACCAGCAATGGAGGAGGGTTCTCCTTTCTCCACATCCTCTCCAGCATGTATTGTCACATGAGTTTTTGATCTTAACCATTCTGATGGGTGTAAGGTGAATTGTCATAGTCATTTTGATTTGCATCTCCTGATGACTAAGGATGTTGAGCTTTTCTTTAAGTGTGTCTCTGCCATTCTATATTCCTTTATAGAAAATTCTCTGTTTAGCTCTGTTCCCCATTTTTAATTGATTACTTAGTTTGTTACTTTTTAACTTCTTGAGTTCTTTATATATTCTGGTTATTAGGCCTTTATCAGATATAGGGTCGGTGATGATTTTTTTCCCAGTCTGTAGGCTGTCATTTTGTTCTCATGACAGTGTCCTTTGTTTTAAAGAAGCTTTCCAGTTTCATGAGGTCCCATTTATTGATAGTTTATCATAGAGCCTTTTGCTGTTGGTGTTCTGTTCACGAAGTTGTCTCCCGTGCCAATGAGTTCAAGGTGCTTCCCTACTTTTTCTTCTAACTGATTTAGTGTGTCTGGTTTTATGTTGAGGTCTTTGATCCACTTGACTAGTTTTGTGCAGGGTGATAAATATGGATCTATTTGCATTTTCTTTTTTTTTTTTTACATGAAGACATCCAGTTAGACCAGCACCATCTGTTGAAGTTGCTATCTTTTTTCCATTGTATGATTTTGGCTTCTTTGTCAAAAATCAAGTATCCATAGGTGTGTTCAACACAATTCCTAATAGATCTTAAAAGGAAAATTCACACACACACACACACACACACACACACACACTCACAAAAACAAAACAAAACAAAACAAAAAAAACCCAGAATGCTAAAATAATACTGAAAACAACCTACCCCTACCCGCAAAAAAACTGCAGGAAGTCTCACAAGTCATTATTATTTCAAGTCATACTACAAAGGTATAATAATAAAAACAACATGGTAATGGCATACAAATCGACTCATTGACAAACTGATTCTAAATCCTCATATGAATAGATTAGTGAGTTGAGGTATCTAGGTCGGGGGCTTCTCTATGAGGAGTAAAAGAGTGGGAAGTGGGAGGGAAAGTGAGACTGGGAGGAGAAGAGGGAAGAGCCTATGACCGAGATGTAAATTGAATTAATTTATAAAAAAAAAAGAAAATAATTTATGTTTCATAAAAGGCAAGAACCGAAGAAACAAAAATAAAGATAATTTTAATTTGGGAGAAATCAACTAATCACCCATAACATTTTAAGTACTATTATCATATATATACAAGAAATAATTTACACTCTGTTGAGCTTTAAAAAAAGTATTTTAATCTCATTCCAAACAGAAATTTCTAGATACATCTTATTCAAATCAATGTTTCACATACATTCTGCAACTTAAAATATAAGGATTCAATATTTTCATCTTTTATAACCTCAATATATTATATATTTAATATATAATATATACACAATACATACACTTAGTCAGCAGGATTAAAAGTAATTCTCAAATTTGATCAGTATTGATAAATATTTTTAGATTAAACATAACTATTTAGGATCAAAGAATAAAATAAAATACAGCAGGCCCAAAATTAACAGTGAGACTGCAAATGTTCATATGGCCAATCATCTGAAAAGAGCTTTCAAGCTGGTGGTATACGCTTTAAAACAATACTGCTGCTACTCTCAAGTAGCAGTCCTTGTAGACATCAGGCATCTGTATCACCATTCAATTTAAAATGACTATGCAGCTTTTCTTACTGTAATATACAGTAGCTTTCTCTTCCTTTCTGTTGGATTTTTTGTTTGTTTGTTTTGTTTTTGAAGACTAAGACATTACCAACAGAAGTGACTTTAGTTCTTTTCCCTTCTCTAGAGCATGGCTCAGTTTGAAGATTGTTTTATAGGCAGCAAGTATGAGTAAGAACAGTACCACAACACCATGAAGAGCAATCAGTAACTGGAGTCCTAGGAGAAGTCTGAAAGACTGTTGGAGGTTTGCACTGTAAACGAAGGTAATCAGAGGGATTAACCCCTGCAGATAACCCTCTCACATTAGTTATCACAATGAGTTACAATTAAAATGCCACAGTGTAACAGTGTAACAACCTATCCTGTGATTTTTAAATAGTACAACATTAATTCACCCTGAGAGTACAGAGGAAGCATTTAAAACAAGATACTCCGATATAATTTTTTTTCTCCTTTGTATTTGCAGTCTTTTTTTGTCAACCCTTCAAGGGCACACATATTTGAATTTAAAGTGTAGATATCCATTTTTTGATTGAAATTCATGCCACTGTCAGATACTGATGATAGAAAAGCCCAAAAAGGCTTGTAGAAAAGAGGCAAGCAGCAATCCACCATGTCAAAAATGACAGAAGTCCTCGAAAAAGGAGAGGAGTGAAAATGGTTTTTAAGCTGTTCAGTGCCACTGTGATTTGCGTAACAGTTACCGTCATCTTCCCATCAGGTGATGGTAGATCAGGGTAAACAGAGTTGGAAGGGAGATTATTATCCACTGGCCAGGGAGAGACAGCTTCTGGATAAATCCCCCAGGAATGATTACCTAGAGTATTCAAGACACAAAACTTGGTAAGTAAATGATACTGAAGACAAAACAAAACAAACAAGCAACAAAAGCCAGAAGAAAAGATAACCTTAAATCCATATCCATATTAGAAATCCATATCCATATTAGAAATCAAAAATTTAGTGATACGGCAAATCCTTTTATGTTGAAAATAAAGTAATTTTGCTATCTGTTAAAATAATGTAATTAATTGAACCATATTATAGAATGTTTTTAAATACATTTCGAAACTGAGTCTGACAGGCTTTTAATTCAGTGCAGTCAAATCTGTAATCTATAAGCTATGAATCGACCATCTTCACTGAGAGAGCAGACTCATTCAGTTCCTAGAAATCCTTTCTCCATCTACAGCATCACAATGAATTTCATTCTGAGAAACTACTATCTATGCATAACGTCAATGTGAGAAACTTAATGGCTTTTAGAATTGGTTTCACTATAAGCATTTGTACAGGATGTGAGTCACACACTGTAAGTGAGCTACCTGCCCGTTATGGTACACAGGTTTGAAGGTACTGGGCATCCTGTATGAGTGAGCCTATTCAGATCATAGTTAGAGTCTCTTGGGACTTCTAAACCCTCACGCTGGCAGGCTGCCCAGTCAAATAAAAGGGAAACAGGTCAACCATGGGTAGTTCATGGGCACTACGACACAAGAAGACTCGACCGACCAGACCTCACTTATTCCCTGAAAATCCTTTACTCTTTCAACATAAGCTATCTAAAGTCAAACTATTTATATAATCCTTAGTCTAGCCAAGTTTATAAGGATTTTTGTAATAATTTAAATGTTAGGCACTAACAAACCTTTAATTCACCTGCTTATACACTCAGATCTAAACAGCAGTGCTTACCCACATTACTTGAGAACTCTGGAATTAACCTTAAATGAAAAGTCCTATGATCACAAAATAATACAGCTGGGCTTCTAAAATCAAGATCAATCAACTTGTACAGTATAGTCTTTCCCTACTTCTTCCTGAAGCTACACTAAGAAGCAGCAGTGTCATGAAGTGCACTTCCATGCTAGTAACAGAAAGGCGTTAACTATCTGTAGGAAGCAAAGAGTGTTCTCCCAGGGCTGTGGCATGCCTACCTAGTGTTTTCAAAAGCAGAGTTGTGTGCAGCAGCATTACCAGAGGTGCCACATACTGCAGGGCAATGACACAAAGGTAATAAAAGACTCGAGCCACCTGCAACAACAACAGTCTTAAGTATCCATTACAGCTGACAAGTCAGGAGTAAATTAAACTTTATAAAATCATCTAACTGAAATGCTTATAAGTAATCCTTTCCTGAGAAGAAAGCTAAATATTATTACGTTTACATTTTAATATATATGTACCCTAACTTCAGAAAGGCTCAACCTAAAGATAAAGATTCTGGAATTTGAAAATATTACAAAATGTAAAAAAGTATATTTCAAAATGCAATACAAAGCACTAAAATCTCTATAGAGTTCCTTAAACATCAGACTAAATAACTATAATAGGCAGGCATGTATGACATGAACTTCTTATAAATAAAAACACTTCATTCCATTTAAACACATTTAAGGTCAAGTTTTAAATCACATGAAAATATATGAAACATAAAGACAAAAAACAGGGTCCAAGATTATGGTAAATCAAAAAGGAAAAAGGATCAGAATATAGGCCCACTCTACTGGTGAAAGATTACACACCCATCTTCTCTAAAATCTCTGTGAAGAACTTAAATTTACTTGCTAGCACATGGAGGAATGTTAAAAGGAATAGTCTGAGGCACAGAAATTCCCACCTTTCTATTCATAAGGTCTGGCCAGCAAACTGTAGTGCCTTTCAGAACATTATTTGGCTCCTCACTAGGCAACAGGGCACACTACAGCTTTGCCGCACCCAATAATACCGACACTTAAAAGCACCAAAGGCCGGCAGACAAGCCCAGACCATTTCTCAGCAGTAAAACTGGACAAAACTCTGACAAAGATCAGCATAGGACCACCCCATTTGTTTACAGGAAGAATGTTATGAAATGGCACATTTTCAATTAGAGGTCTGAATTATTTTTCACAAAATGTCTTCTATTATCTTTCCATTAGGACAATTATAAAACTTACCATTTTCTGTAGCTCAACGGTACTTATTCGGCCTGCTTCTTTCTTCATTTGATCCACACATTTCTGGGCTAAGTTTAAATATGCTTGCAGGTGACTTCGCATCATGGCCAACCGCAAAACACATAGCAGGATTATTAACCAGAGTCGAAGAGTATCAAATGTGGCTTCTGTCATTCTACGGATCAAAAAGTTGATATGATGCTCTCAGGGATCACAATACATGAGCATAGTTGTCATGCTACTGTTCAGCATGTAGGACATAGGAAATCCATACTTACCTAGGAGACCTCCTTAACTGCGAGACCTATAACAAAAGATTTCCATTTTGCCAATAACATACCTACTGGTCTTACTTGTGCAAATAAGAAAGCAGACAGTCCAGCCAAATTACTGAGCTTCAATGACACTATTCCAGAAAAATATTAGTAGATTGTGATCTAGGAAAGACACCTGATGTTAACACTGGCCTTCCATATGCATACTCACAACACACCACACATGCCTACACATATCACAGACACATAGACAAACATGCACAAACACACACACACCCAGCATGTATATAACATGCACAAACTCACTGTGGTGGTTTGAAGAGGAATGGCCCCTACAGACTGATGATGTGTTTGAATGGTTGGCCCATAGAGAGTGGCACTTTTAAGAGGTGCCTTGTTAGAGGAAGTGTGTCAGTATGAGGTCTCTTAGGCTCAAGCTACACCCAATGTGGCATATAGTCTCCTTCTGCGGCCTGCTGATCAAATGTAGAACTCTCAGATCCTCTACTACTATGTCTGCTTTTATGCTGCTCCATGATGATAATGGACTAAACCTCTCAAACTGTAAGCTAGCCACAATTAAATGGTTTCCTTTTTAAGAATTGACTTGGTAGGCAAGTTGATATCCATGGGAGGTCTCCTCTTCTTTGAGAAGGGAGGGGGGGCATAAGAATAGGGGAGTGGAAGTTCCCACTGCGATGTAAAGTTAGTAAATAAATCAATTAATAAAAAGAAAGGCGAGGTCTTGGTCATGTGCCTCTTTACAGCAATGAAACTCTAATTAAGACCCTCCCTGCCAAATAAAAAAATTTCCCCTATGTATGTTTCTATCCATTCTACTATCAACTGCAGGGAGCTTCTTCTTAGCTCTTATTTGGGATATCAGTGTGTGTGCATTTCAATAGTCATGGTAAGCACCTTAAGACATGCTACAGATCAGATCAGTACCATTCATCATCCAGTTACTATGTCAAATTACTCCAGAAGGTAGTACTTTTTGAAGCAGAAATCACAATTCTTATAACTCAATAAAACCTTTAAGCCTTTAAAAAGACATCAGAAAGTCTATCTTCAATGACAAAATACTTTAAGCCTTTCAGAGTAGCCAACTTTCTTAAAAGATGTCCTAAGAGTATGTGTTGTCCAGGGTCTAAGAGCAACAATCAATAAATGGGACCTCATAAAACTGAAACCTTCTGTAAAGCAAAGGACACTGTCATCAGAACAAAACGACAGCCTGCAGACTGGGAAGGGATCTTTACCAACCCTATATCTAACAGAGGGCTAATATCCAGAATATATAAAGAACTAAAGGAGTTATACAGTAATAAACCAAGTAATCCAATTAAAAAATGGGGTACAGAGCTAAACAGAGACTTCTTTGTAGAGGAATATCAAGTGGCAGAGAAACACTTAAAGGAATATTCAACGTCCTTAGTCATCAGGGAGATGCAAATCAAAATGACCATGACATTTTACTCTACACCCATCAGAATGACTAAGATCAAAATTTCAAGTGCCAACACATGCTGGAGAGGATTTGGAGAAAGGGGATTCTCTTCCATTGCTGGTGGGAATGTAAACTTGTACAACCACTTTGGAAATCAATTTGGTGCTTTCTCAGACAATTAGGAATAGTGCTATAAAAATCTATACCACTCCTAGGCATATATCCAAATGATGCTCAAGTATACAACAAAGACATTTGCTCAACCATATGTGTAGCAGCTTTATTCATAATAGCCAGAATCTGGAAGCAACTCAGATATCCCTCAACTAAGGAATGGATACAGAAGTTGTGGAACATTTACACAATGGGATACTACTCAGCAATTAAAAACAAGGAATCATGAAATGCAGGCAAATCGTGTGATCTAGAAAAGATCATCCTGAGTGAGGTATATCCCAGAAAGACACACATGGTACATACTCACTTATAAGTGGATATTAGACATATAATTAGGATAAATCTACAAAAATCTGTACACCTAAAGAAGCTAAGCAAGAAGGCAACCCTGGGTAAGATGTTTGGTCCTCATTCAGAAAGTCAAATGGATCACATCAGAAGAGAGAGAAAACAGGGAATAAGAAAGGAGCCTTCCACAGAGGACCTCTGAAAGACTACCCAGCAGTATATCAAAGCAGATGCTGAGACTCATAGCCAAACTTTGGGCAGAGTGCAGGGAATCTTGAAAGAGGGAGATAGAAATACCTGGAGGGGACAGGAGCTCCAGGAGAGCTGCAGGCAGGACCAAAAAAATCTAGGCCCAGGGGTCTTTTCTGAGACTTGATACTCCAACCATATCTCCAACTCATGGAGATAAGCTAAAACCCCTGCACAGATGCAGCCCATGGCAGCTCAGTCTCCAAGTGGGTTCCCTAGTAAAGGGAACAGGGACTGTCTCTGACATAAACTCAGTGGCTGGCTCTTTGATCACCTCCCCCAGCAGAGGAAAGGCAGCCTTACCAGGCCACAGAGAAAGACAATGCAACTACTCTTGATGAGACCTGACAGACTAGGGTCAGATGGAAGGGGAGGAGGACCTCCCCTATCAGGACTGGGGGAGGGGGTGAGAGGAGAAGAGGGAGGGAAGTGGGATTAGGAGGGGATGAGAGGGGGCTACAGCTGGGATACAAAATGAATAAATTGTAATGAATAAAATAATAAAAAATCAGAGAAAGAGGAAAAAAAAAAAGAGTATGTGTTGTCTTTTATATGGCCTTTAAATGGGTTCTGGGGACCTGAATTGGGGTCTCTGTGCTTATAATTTAGCAACTGAGTCATCTCCCCAGCCTGAAACAATTAACAAAAAAAAAAAAACCTAAAACACTTTACAATAGTTCTTCCTTACACATATTCTATTACTACATCAACTTGCTGTTCAATAGCAAGTGCCAGGATGTGACCTGAGGCCTAGTATGAGTGCAATGGAACATCATGCTCTTGAATAGGAATAGCAAAGGAAAGGCAGAGAGGATGCAAAAGTGTGACCTCGTTTAAGTGTTTTCTGAACTCAAGGTCAGAATTGGGGATGAGACCAAAATTTTATAATCCTTAAGTGTTTTGCTTTCTTTTTCAAGGTTATGAATGCACGTGGATGTAAAACTCCAATGCAAAGGCACTGTTGGCTAGAAAACACACACACAGTATTTTAACAACACATTTCAACTACAATACGAAGAGACAAATGAGCCAGTCACAGGAAAGGACAATATACAGGACATAAGGACATCTGCAACCTTGAACCTTTCTTTACAAGTGACCTGTCTAGAAATCCCTTCCCTGGAGTGTGAAACAAGGATTGACTGGTAGCACTGCAAAGATGGGTAATTCACAGACACAGAAGAAAACAAACCAAATTACTAGAATAACTAGAATATGATTGACTCATGTTCCAAGTTCAGGATTTGGTATAACAGGTACGGAGTATATTCTAATGCATATTAAGGTAATACAAATATCTGATAATGTGCTCAGACGGAATGTCTCAAGAAGAAATCTGAGCTGTGGTAAAACTCTAGGTAAAGAAAAAGGCACAAGAGGCAAGCCTGAGTTCCAGTCTCAGACCCTGTAGCAAAAAGTGAAAAAGAAGCCCAGAAACAATGGTGTGTGGAGGCAGATGCAGGTGATCACTCTGAGTTCAAGGTCAGCGGGGGCTGTATTTAAGATCTAGTCTTAATAAAGCAATCAGTCCATCAGTCAGTCCGTCAGTCAGTCCATCAGGGGATGGGGATAAGGAATCCTTCCCAGATTTCAAGGTAACAATGGTCTTTATGATACCTTCTGGTTTTCCTTTAGGCTACACATACACACACAAAGGCTACATGTAGCCTCATTTTATTTAAGCACAATTCTAAATAGAAAAGCAGCATGTCCACTCTACTTCTGACTACACACACTCTTCCATTAAATAACTGACGTAAATTTCTTTTTGATAACACACAGTTACTATTTCATCATCTACCACATGGATGCCAGACTTCAAATAATTTTTGTTGTTGTTGTTTGGGTTTTTGTTTGTTTTAAGACAGTTTCTCTGGATAGCCTGAAAGTGCTGGAATTTGCTCTACAGACCAGATGGCCTTGAACTCAAAAGATAAAAACTGCCTCTGCTGTATGTGTTTCTCTCTTAATCCGGCTAGCATCAAAATAATTGAGACTCTATTATATTTGTTTATAAAGCAGTATAACACAATCCTGAGCAGTATTAACTATACTCTTAATCCTCTAAACTAATCTGGCTTCTATCCAGTTTATATACCAGAGATACTTGCACAGTGGCTTTCCCTGCTGAATTCTCTCCTATTCTCCCTTGGATCTCTACATGTGGCTGAAAACACTTACTTCCTCTTCTAACTCCTTCTCCCCTTGCTGGCTGGAACTCTAGCCCTATTCTCTCCCACTGATCAGCAACTGGCTATAAGCTGCTTTACTGGCATATCAGGGGACAACTGGGGAGCACTGTTTACACAACATTGAGACAGGAGATTCTCAAAACAAGGACTGTACTCAGATATGGTGGAAGGGGAGAAGGGACAGACAGAAATCAGCACTTGAATTACACAATAATTTTATGCCTACACAGTCTCTCCCAGGTACTGGAATGAAAGGGATCCACCAACACCACCCAGCATAAATAAAAACTTTAAACTAAATTATTAACTCACAACTAGAACAGCAACAACAAAACAAGCTAGGTTATACTTTTGATTGACTTTATGAAATACAACAGAAGAAAAGATGGAAATAGGAGGAAAAAGTTTTAAGAAGATCCCAGGCTGTTGTATAGAAACAAAGTGGAAAATGAGATTTGCTACTGCTACATTTGGGAGACGGTGGGGACAGGGAGAGAGGAGAATCTCACTATGCAGCCCAGCTGAAGCCTGGTCTTTACGTGCCTCATCTTCCAGGCAGCACCCATAACTGGGATTATTAGTTATGCATTACCACATTTGTCTCCCCGCCAGATGACTGAACCACCATTAGTCAAATTAACTTTTGAGTCTACTATCCCATCTAGACAGTAAGAACAGTAACTACACTTACTACACAAAAGATTTAGATAAAAAACAGAATCACTGACACACAAATGCTAATTTCCTTTTTTTCCCCAATTTTACTTGTAATCTATCAAATTAAAGCTATTATTTAAGTTTAGTTATATGGAAGATAGACAATACTTCTTCAGTGGATATTTCCCTAGCTCAAGGAAAACAACAACAACAAAAAAAAACAACTGTCATGCTCATCACTGGTTCTATTCTCCAAGACAATCAAATATATACAGAATTTAAAAGAGGTGCATACTATACAATGCACACCATGGAGTCAATAACTAATCAGGCTTTTCTGTTTTAATTCTGATGAAACAACAGTGAAAAGAACATCACTAAGCACTTTTGAAATGACTGCATTCCCAGGTGTTCTTTCACTTAATTCCATCAAGATCCTATGAGATAGATACCACTACATGTTCCAGGTGAGGAGACAGAGGCTTAGGACAGTTAAATAATAATCTGCCTCAAGTCACAGTTTCAGTGAGGAGCAAAGCTAGAATTTGGATGCTTTCTAACTCTACAATACTATATCTAGCAGACAAAGTAGTTATAATGTCTTTCAATAAACTCTATGTTTCTTTGACATCTTATTCTGCTAAAACATAGGTGTCTAACTGGAGATATATGAACAAGTAGTAGTAGTAGTAATAATAATAATAATTTAAAGACATTATTATTAATTTTCCTAAGTATGTTATAGGAAAAAACCTCATCTGTTAGCGATAGAAATGGTATAACTATGTATAGGCTAATATTAGTGTAGAGTAATAAACATTAGCATTCATTTCAAAAAGTAAAAAATGGGTTACATGATAGCCTGAAGCTTCAACTTCAAAACTTATCTCCAGCATTTCCACTAATATTAAAGTATAAAGTACTTCAATTTATCATTAAAAAAAAAAAAAAACACTTTAGATATAAGCCACATATGGTAGTGGCATGTCTTTAATTCTAGTATTCAGAACTTAGAAGCAGGTAGATATCTGTGAGTTCAAGACCAGACTCCACATAGTGAGTTCCAGGATAGTCAGAGCTACACACTGAGACCCTATCTCAAAAAAAGCAAACAAGCAAACCTAAATTGAGGTTTGTAAATTTAGGTAAATAACATTTAGAGAAGCAGCTCTGATGTATAATGAAACAAAGCTCAGTACCCATACTTACAAAGGGACACTTTCTTTACCCAGTGGTGGGTTCATGATGTAGTCTTTGGTGAGTGGTTTCACCCAGAGCAGAACCATAAATAACGGTGCCAAGAAGTTGATATGAAGTAATGTTCTGAAAGTATACAAGAAATACACATAAAAATCAATAAACAAAATGTGCTAGTAAAGTGTAAAGATATTACATTTCTTATCATTTACTGTTAACTGGAGTCCTTAAGAAAGGAGGTTATTATCTTAGTTTTTCAGATGAAAATATGTAGGCCTAGAAAGTTAAATGGCTTGTTCATGGCCATTTAGAAGATTAGGAAGATATAAGGCCAAAATAGATATTTGTTCTCTTCTACTCTAGATGTAGTTGTCAATCTCTAAATCCATGATTCAATAAACAGGTATTTTAATGATTCTCTAATTTCAATGATTCCAATAGGACAGACACAGGAGTTATCTGATAATTTTCAACACAGCTATACAAAATGCTTGCTCATTATTCACCAATAAATGACAGTGATTAACAAAGTCATAATACTAGAAGACATATAGCAAATGAACACAACTTATAACTGAGGGCCCTTTCAATACATAATGATTATTTATAACATTAAAATTATATTTACCAAAATTACACGACTCAAAACTTGTGTTTCTTCTTGTACTGTTACAAACACAATTGAAATTAATTTCTTTACCATATGCAAATAAAGATCATTTACTTTTTGTTCCTATTTTTAGTTTTATGGAACAGATCTTGATATACAGCCTCACCTGGCTGCCACTTTATGTTATTCTCAGCCTCACAAGGGCTGGAATTACAAACTCGAATCACCACACCCACCATTAATTTACACCTGACAAACTAAACTCCTAATGCAGGAAAGAGATTTCAGGACTGAGGTACAACTTGATGGTTCACATACACATGGCTGCCAAACTTTTGTTTTAGGAACAAAAGGCAAACTTGGTAGATTATTTTATTACAACATAACTGCTTTCATAATCAACCACAGAGAGGGCTTAACTACAGGTTTTAAAACACACACAAACACATACATTTTAAAGTATTACTACATAGACAAATGGTAGTGACAGGTGTGACACATGCAGCTGAGTCAGGGACAGTAAAAACAAGGAAAGGTGGTTACAACCCTAGTATGATACAAGTTGTAGCACAGTGCCACAGAAGTGGAGACAAGGCTGCTACTTTGCCACTCAAGTTACCCAAAACAGAACTAGTTGCCCACACGGTTACAACACGACAGAGTGCTGTACTACAACACGAGACTCTAATAAACAGGAAATAAAACAAAATCCCAAATCCTCACAGGCTAAACACTTAAAACAAAACCACATTTTACTGAAGATAGATGTGCCACCCCTCTCTCCATCACTAAACGTTTTATGGTGATTCTTATATTCCATAGTCTTGGTAAACCATTGAGGGCAGGGAAGAAAGAGCAGTATTAGGTATGCAGTGTTGCTAGGGAACACTCCTGTATCGAGAAGCAGTCCACAGCGGTTTCAGTAGCTTGTGAAGGGCTCCCCTCCACCCACCCTTTTCAGCTTATTTAAATCTTAACACTAGGGGTAGTGGGCTGCAGTGTGTGTAAAGAGGAGGGGGAAACCAGGTTTTGTTTTAAAAGAAGCCTTTAGAGAGATGGGTGGTGGGAAAAGGCAGGACATAGTAAAGAACATGCTGAGTAAAAGAAAAAAGGGGGGAGATGAAGTAGTGTATAATGGGTGGGAGTTAAGAATAAGTAAACACATACTAAACATGTAGAAAATGGAGCCAAGGAGAAAAAGTAAAAATTAAAGAACATAGGTAAGAGACTAGACTGCAGAAACAGAGGAATTAGCACCATTAAATGTAGTGTTTTAAAGAACAGTAATTTTAGAAAATGATTGCCTACAGGAGCCTAATGACTATACACATGTATATAAAGTGAAGTCCTCTCAAATAGGGCTTACACTGCAGGTAAGACAACCTGGATATAAGTGAACGTATATAAAGCCCACCTTTCTGTTAAGATGCCTCTATCCATAAACAACCAATCAGATTAAAAAAAAAAAAAAAAAAAAAAATCCAAACAACCAAATAAACACTCCCCAAATAAAAACAAACCCCTGGAGTAACTACAAAGAAAATAGCAATGAGCTTGAAACCATAGGCAGAGTTTTAATATGTTTTCTTCATTTCAGAATCAAAATAGAATTTGGTAGTTAAAACCAACTATAGGATGTTGCACAGTATTTGCAGTCATAAAATAGCAAATTACTTTAAGTCTATCAACAACTTAAGGAAAACATTTCTTATGGCTATAACTCTTAGCTTTAAAAATACTTAATTATCTTAAATAAAAATATTAAAATCTTTGAATAAACAAATAAACGTGTCTTAAAATAAAAATTTAAAATGCAAATTTCCATAGACCAGTTCAACAGTAAAGCCTGAAATATCGTAAGTTTCTGAATTAAAAATAATTAACATGAATCTTGGTATTTTCATGTTAACAGGTAGAAACAAGTTTAACAACAAAAGTATTTTTAACATTGGCTTGAAATTTCAAAGAGAAACTACTTATAGTAGAGAGGAAGTGGTGTAATAGCAAATATTTATTAATTTTTAATAAAATAATTTATTATTTTATCACAATAATATACCTTAATTAGGATGGAAAACATATATTTATCTGCATGTGCTTATGTACATTTTCCGCTTACTGTGTAATTTTTTCTGTTGCCAAATTCAGGGCATCCAGATGCATTTGAGCCAGCCGTAATCCAGGAAATGTCAAAAAAGCCCCAATCAGTGAACAGAAAACAGCCAGGAAAAATTTGAAAGTAAGTTTTGAAACAGGACCCCTAAAAATAAAGTTAAAAAAAAAAAAAAAAGGCTGAAAAAGTTTTTGTTAAACTTATTAAGAACCTTTTTCCCCCATTCAGGTAATTTACAAATCACAATAATGTCAGTACACTAATATGTATCTAGAACAATTCTGATCTTACTTATAGCAGAATTTGGTAAACTATAGACTAAACCAAACTAAACTAAATACAGAATACATCTCTTTAAATGACAGCTACCAATTCAAGCTGCACATTAATGACATATGGCTCGGTTATAAATTAGTTCCATCTTTGGAGACAGTGGGATTATAAGAGAAAATATAGCTAAGAATTTGATGGAAGATTCTACTTTCAAAAAACTGTTCAAAGTATGAGTAAGCCATTCCTACAAGTGATCACCGATACTGAATGAAGGAGGGAATGAAGGAGTCCTATTATAAGGAAATCATTTTTACTGATTAAAATTAACTTATTATTGATAGTAAAATCTGCTTTAAGAATGGAAATGTTAAATTTAAATAATGCTCAACTTTTCAAAAACTTACTGAGATTCTAAACCTTGCTTTTCAAGAAACTGCATCGCACTGTCTGAAAAATTTGTAAACCCTGTAGAAGAAAAAAAAAAGAAAACTTATCATGACAGTGAAATGCAGACTCTCCCAGAAAACAGAACATCTTATATTTTAAGGACCAACTTTGCTCTTTTGTGTTAATTAGTATGCTATAATAATGCAATAAAACCGGTCTCTAAAATATCCCTTTGATACTTGTACATTCCACAAGTGCATAAATTTTAAATTGATCCTTTTGCATACAGAAACTGATTTAAGAAAAAATTGAGGGTGCAGTATTTTGGGGATAAGATTGATACAATCTTATCAACAACAACAACAATAAAGATCTCATTGTTCAGGAGTCAGAGGCAGGTAGATCACTGTGAGTTCGAGACCAGGCTGGTCTACAAAGCAAGTCCATGACAGACAAGGCTGTAAGAACAACCTTGTCTCGAAAAACCAAAACAACCAACCAAACAAACAAACAAAAATATCACTAAAGATTAACATCAACATTAACATTAATTAGAACATAAACCAACTTTAATTTTAAATATTTATCAGATTAAAACTTAACTAAATACTGAAATTAAAATTTTAGAGTTGTATACAACTTTTACCTGTTTCAAGTCCAAACTCCAGGTAATTCTCTGTTACGATCAAAACTGCCATTGCTTTAACGAAGAAAAAAAATCCAAAGGTGACACAAACTGACCTTTCACCACCATCTTCTACTTTAAAATAGTGTGTAGTTAATGAAAATAGAACTTTGCTGCAGAAGGAAAAGTTCAGGAAAAACCACAAATAACTTGTGGGAACTATGCACAGCCATCTTTACATGACGCAAATGCCAAAAGAAGTAAACAGTATTCACTCTGATTCTACTGGTTTGTCTGTCAGATGTCCTCTGGAAGTGAAAACTAAAGAAAATCTTAATGGAAGTAGAATTGAAACAAGAAGAGAATCTAATAAGAGTTTATATTAAATTAAGGAAAAGTATACTAAAATTAAGTTGTAATTACATAACATATCTTATGTATATGATTCAAATTTAACTGGGTTAACTACAGAAATTTATGCCAACAGATTCATGAAAATAGCATGGAAAGGGGTAGAACTTTTAGGCAGCTACTCTTTTTTTTTAAGATTTATTTATTTATTATATATATACAGTATTCTGTCTGCATATACAGCTATATGCCAGAAGAGGGCACCAGATCTCACTATAAACGGTTGTGAGCCACCATGTGGTTGCTGGAAATTGAACTTAGGACCTCTGGAAGTGCAGCCAGTGCTCTTAACCTCTGAGTCATCTCTCCATCCCAGGCAGCTATTCTTATTGGGCAAATTTATCAAGCACTTATGTTTATTACCTACATTTATAATTAAATGCATAATGTAATACCACAGGATTAATTTGTAGCTGTTTAACAATTTAAAATTTAAAAATTATTAATAGCTGCTACTAAGCTGTTATATAAAAACTATTTAGGACCATCATTCATATGAGGGTTAAACAAAGACCAGTTCCACCTGAGTACTCCAAACCAGTCAAAGTTTCAACATGCTCACCTTGAAAATCAAACTAAAAGACCATGTTACCTGAAGCCCACATAACACACACACACACACACACACACACACACACACACACACACACACACTCATTTAATTGGGATCAAGGCAAATATAACCAAACCTAGCACTTGGACCTCATGTGTACAAATCATGTTCCTTGAATGGATAAAAAAAAAAAAAAAAAATACAGCCAGTAAACAAATCTAGACACAAGCAAGTTAAATATGAATGTAATGTTAAGACCTGGAATAAATGAGTTGTGTCTTAGCATTACTCATGCACAAAACAAAACATGTCTAAGAAACCTGCACCAGGGTTAAGCAAAAAACCTGAAAGTTATGCAGTTAGATTAGAGGTGACTGAGATTTAAACTTAGACAGTCATAATCCAGAGCCTGGAATTTAGCACTCACTCCACAAATTATACACAGCACTTAATAGTTATGTCCCGCAGCTCAGAGGTAAAAGATGGAATCTTTTCAAACTAGTTAAGCATTCTTGTTATAGTTTTCAAAGGCAGTAAGCTCTATGCTAACGTGGAAGCTAATTTATTTGCATTTTAATTAATTAATCTATCAGTTAAAGAATAAATGGTGTTAGGGTCAAAGCCTAGAGCCTTATGCTTTCTAGGCAAGTGATCAACCACCAAGACATGCACATCTTGCTAAATTATTTCCATAGCAAAGAACAAATCTTTAGAATCTGGAAAGCTGACAATCTCTTCAAAGTACAGAAGGAGTTTAAAGAGCAATACTGACACTTGCATCTTACAGTGCAGGACTTTGTGGTGCTTCTATGTTTCACTCTTCCTAAAATCCTTACTACTACTATATAAATTTCACTATACAGAACTAGTCAATCCTCTTCCTATTTTGACTAGTACCTACGCAATCATTTATCAGCAGCTAAGAGTATACATGCTGAACCTGGCATGAATCTATGCTATCAAGCTTAAGCAAATTATCAAATGATGTTAATTTAAATTCAAATGATTCATAGACATTTTTCAAAAGCATAATTTCCATGTTATTTTAAGAAAGATGATTTTGTCTCTTTCATGAAACCATTACATATAACACAGTATCATTGTTCTCAACTTTTATACATAAAGGGATTTTGCCAATTACACTCTCATATTCAGTTATAGAAAAGATTCTTCAATAGCAAGTTTTTTGACAAAGCCTCAAGAAACCATATTATTTTATATTTACCTTAAATTAAAATATATATGCTTTTATTTTATATTTACATACATATAAATATAAAATCTTAAAGTTATAACTCTTGATAATGTTCCTCACGAGAATCAAGAGACTTAGAGAAACCTCAGGACGAAGATGAAAAACCTGTTTTTAGTTGTTGGACAGGGTTGCCCAAGTGACTCCCAAAACAATATAAGTTAAGGCTATTTATTGTTCTTGGTTTGTTTCAGAGGTTGAAGGTAAAACACTGAAAACTTAAAGAGACAGTACTTGGATTATTTGAGTGGGATCTAACACGAAAGCCTCCTCTAGCTTCCACAGTATGTAATACCAGACAGTACTATGTAAACTGCCAAGGGAAGGAAGAAATCAATAGTTCTACCTAGCTGTGATGCTTATGAACCACAATGACCAACATGGCAAAATATCCCTAAGGGAGCAATAGTGGCATTCATATTTTAGCAGTGACCAACAGCTGTCAAACTGGACTTAATGTTCACTCAAAAGCAGGGAAATCATGCCTGGTACTTGAAACCTACCAACCACCTGGGACTGGTGAAGGCTTCACCCCTCCACCCCCCAAGACAGGGCTTCTCTGTTTATAACCGTGGATGTTCTGGAACTTGCTCTGTAGACCAGGTTGTCCTTGAACTCAAAGAGATCCACCTGCTTCTGTCTCCTGAGCGCTAAGATTAAAGGTATGTACCACCATTGTCTGGTTAAAACTTAAAACTTACAGGTAAGTATAGCTTCTCCTCCTACAACAAATAGAGAACATCACAGAAAATCACAGTAAAATAACACAGCTGTCAAAAGACCATGGGGACCTCAGCCCAAACTGATACATCAACATTAGAACTCCTGTTAATACCTAAGGCTCAGAGAACATTTAGACTATGGAGCAAAAGGATTATGAGAACCAGAGGATCAGGAAATCTGCTGTATCTCCTAGAATTGGCTGCATAAATAACACCTGAATCATGAAAATATCAATACTCATGCTAATGTAAAAGAGTGGGAAAAATCTTACAGGGTCCAATTCCCTAGACAAAGAACTACAAGCAATTAAAGACTACTAACAGAAGGGGAAGTTTCGATTTATGTATTTTTGCATCATTCTCTCTCTCTCTCTCTCTCCACACACACATACACACACACACACACACACACACACACACACACAGACTATAGTAATAATCAAAGGAAAAAAGGGCATCAATTTGAGAGGGAGTGAGGTGGGACATGAAAAGAATTGAAGAAAGAAAAAGGGAAGAAGTGATTAATATATATAGTTATATACTAACTGAATGTATATTTAAAAAATACATTGACACACATATACATACATATATGTAGACACACACACACACACACACACATATGACCCTGAAAGAATCCAAAGTCTCTAATCAATTTTAGCAATGCATAGATACCTCAACATACATAGATAAATGTAATTCATCATGTAGTTAAGATAAAAACAAAACAAAAAAAAACAGAAACATCACCACCGTAATTAAAAAAGCTTTGACAAAATCCAGTATCCCTTCATCATAAAAGTAATGAAAAGGCTGGTGATGGAGGAAGTGTATATCAACATAATAGAAGATACATATAATATGTCTTTGGCTAATATCATACTAAATGTAGAAAAACTTAAACACATTCACATTAAGATCTAGAATAGGATAAGAATGTCCACTCTTCCCACTTTTATACAATATAGTTTGAAGTCTAAGGTAGAGCAAAAAGAGAAAAGAAAAAAAAAAGGGATACAAATAGGAATAAAAGAAAAAATATCCCCTTTTTGTAGAAGATATTTAAGAGACCCTTAAGATGCCACCAAAAGCTTTTAGAGATGATAAACTCTTTCAGCAAAGTAGGAAGATACCAGAACATACAAGAACCAACAGCCTTCCTATACAGCAATGACAAACACTGAAAATGAATTCCCATTGACAATAGCCATAAATATATATATATATATATATATATATATATATATATATCTAGGAATGAACCAAGAATGCTACAATGAAAACTTAACAACAGAGAAGAAAGGAATTAAAGAGGACACTAGGAGATTGAAGAGCTTCCATGCTTATGGATTGGAACAAGTAATCTTGTGAATATGGCCATCCTACCAAGAGCAACCTATAGATTCAATGTAATTCCAATCAAAATTCCATGGATATAGAAAACCAAAAACCAATCCCAAGTCTTACCAGGCAAACAGGAACTGGGATAGCTAAGGCAGTCATATGCAAAAAAGATACTACAGGAGGTACCATAATACCTGATTTATACAACATAGACACAGTAATAAATACACACTATGGCAGTGGCACAAAAACAGAGAAAAATGAAATAAAATTGTGAAACCAAATGTAAGTTCATGTAACTACAGCTACCCAATTTTTGGCAAAGATGTCAAATATATATTGAAGAAAAACTGTACCTTAATCAAATGATGCTGGGAAACCAGAATAACAGCATGCATGAAAATAAAACTAGATGTACAAAAATCAACTACAAAAGCATCAAGGACCACTTCAACATAATCCCGACATCATGAAACTCGTACAGGAAAAAGTAGGGTGCATGCCTCAACTTAGAAGGACAGGTAAGACCTTGGGAAATAAGACTCGAGTGCCTCAGGAAATAAAAACAACTGATAAATGGGATCTCACCAAACTAAAAAACTTCAGTACAGGAAACTGAAACAAGCGAAAAGGCCCATATTTGGCAGGTATTCATTTAACAGGGATTAATGTCCAACATATACAAAGAGCTCCAAAAACTAAACATTGAGAAATATCAAGAACTCAACTAAAATATGGACTACGGAATGGAGCATAAAATTCTCAAAAGAAAAAACTAAAAAGTGCCAGGAAACACTTTAAAAAGTGCTTACTGGAGGATCCAAGATGGTGGTGACCAGAGTGCACCATATCTAGGGGGCAAAGGATCTGAAACTCCAAAATTGGTGAGTG